CACGAAGGCTTCAGATCAAGAAATGCTCTAGAAAACTGCATCTTCACCCGCAGTAGCTTATGACAGTCCAGACACCAAAACCAGTTTGTCAAGAAGATTTTATCAAATACACAAACGCTAGTGGTTGAATTTTTATGTGAACTTTAAATGAGTGAATGTAAAACTGTTGCTTTTCTGTGATGCTGCAAAAAAGTTCTTTTGGTTTTTATACAGGAAAAAAAAAAAACAAGACTGCCCTTATGTATGGAGGGCAAATTTTTAATCTTTCCGATAATATTGAATAGGAATATTCAAATTTCTGTAAAGATGTGTGATGACTTACATTTCATTGTAAAATATTAGTTAAAGAATGGGTTTACATAAGGACTTCTGTATTTAATATGTCTCCCTGATAACTTGTAAAGCTCTTTATGAGAAGGATCAGTAAGATTGCTCTGTGAGGAGAGTGATTCCTTACAGAATGGTTTGGTCAAGGAGCTCTGGAATGAGTCGTCTTTCCTGGTACCCTTCCAAAACCCAACAATTGGGAAGGTCAATAAAAGAAAAGCTTTGTTCTCTAGGTATGCAAGTGTTTATTAGATGCTGGTGAATTTAAAAAAAAAAATTAATGAGTAGTTTTTGAAAAGAAAAAAGCACTTTAAGATGGAATTCTGTTGCAGTTTTACTCATTAAATTTTTTTTTACCTTTGGAGACATATTGAATAAAAGGTAGTCTCAATCATGTGATCTGCAATCACTTGCTTATGCTTTGAAATTACTGAGAAAGTTGGTATTGGTTGTATATGATGAATAATTCCTTGAGTGAGTTTGGGACACTTGTGCGGATTTTATAGCAATTTTAACACGGGGAAAGAATGATTTGGCTTTGTTTGTATTTTCACTTGACCAGGCAACGTTTAAAATATCACAGCTCTTTTGATTTGCTCATAAACAACTGGAAACCAGTTGGGATGATTTGAGCACAGTTTTGTTTTCCACGTCAAGTGCATTTCAGTGATTTCTGTCTCTGGGTACTAGCTTCTTTTGTGCTAACTAACTCTTCATTTTTTGTACATTTTGCGTTTGTCACATTTTCTGCACTGCTTTTTGCCTTTATTTATGGATTCTGCCTTACTTTAAAAACAGAAAATTTTAAAAACAAACATGCACAGAAATGGGGGACATCTTAAGGAGTGCCTGGGTACCTCCAGAATAGATAAATTTGCCAAGTTAAAGGCACAACCAGCCAAAAAGTGCCTTTTTTTCTTTTTACATACTGTTGCTGAAACAAGAAGCAGCAGACAGCTTTTCACTGTTGTGCACTAATCTTGAAATTAACCAGTCATTTCACTGTTGGAAGTAAACATCTGATCGGATTTCAGCTGTACAGCTTTATAACTTATTGCGGGTTAAGAGAGCCGTTGTCATAAATTGCACGTGCAAAGAAGTAAGGGTGGCATTGTAGTGAATCTCACTTTTCTTTTCCAAACAATGTTTTCATAGACTCATGGCAGAGTTAGCATTTTATAAATGTTTCTGATAATGTGCTGGGACATTTTAAATGTGATGTTTTAAATTAATTTTGAATAAATCATTTCTTACGGATACCCCTTCCTCCTTCCCCCATCCCTAATACTTTGTTAATGGGTCATAAATCGTCACAAGAAGTCAGTACACAGCGGTGATGGTGATGGAAGAAGCTGGTAATGTTCCTATGGGTTGGCACCACTTGTCACTTCAGGTTCCTGATATTTCCTATGGAAACAACGTCCTCGATTACCGCAGGCCCAGAGAAGCATTGACAAGAGAATTTGCATCAGGAGGGCTCATCACCACTGTATACTTGAAACCAATACAAACTTTTTCATGGTTCTGCTCACGCTTGTACAAAGTCAGTGGTTATAATTTGCAATAAGATGATACTTGGTCAATTACTTTTGTTTCCAGCTGCTGTCATTTGAACCTGCTGAAGATTATTTTTTTGGAAAACAGAGTTCAACAAAACTAGTTTTTGTGTAAATTGTGATGCATTTCTATGTTGTAATTTTTACTGCCAATCTTTTTGGATGAAAATGTTTTTATACAGCTTACAAAATGTTCAGTGAGGAGCAGCCGCAGCCTGCCTGTGAGCATTCGGGGAGATATTGTCTGATTAATACGTAGACATTTGGCACTGGAAAAATAGGCAGTCTTGATGAACAGTCTTGGGATTCCTGGTCAATGGAATAAAGTTATTCCTTTCACAGAAAACTAGTGTAATCTTTAGACCGTGCATACACTGTTGTCTTGTTGATCCTCTTATCTTGAAATGTCTTGGGCCAATCCAGCAGATGATAAACTCTGAGAGGTTGCCCTGATCGCCATTTTGGCTCCTGTCCAGAGTAAATCACAACAGCTGAATGGCTCCCGGAGCTGCGCTGCTGTGTATCCTTATGCCATGGCATGTTCTGGTGCACTGTCAGATCTGTATCTGCGTGCAGTTCCTTCTCCTGACCTTCTTAGCAGAATAATTTACCCTGGATGCACTTGCAGACATGGATTAGACTAGCTTTTCTGTCTCAGATAGCAAGATTTGCAGGCGCTTTGGACTTGAATTAATCCTGCCTTTTCTGTTGGGTGAGATGGAGAAAGCTGGACACGCAGCAGTGCCAGGGTGCTGGTGTTCCCCTGCTCGCCTGCCTGCTGCCTTCCTAAGCAGCACTAGGAGCTACAGCCAGGGCTGCTGTCCCGGCTCTGCCTTCCTCTGGGTGCCTTTGTCCTCCATTCTACGGATAAAGGCTTTGACATTTCAAGGATGACCCAGCCTGTGCTCTCTGCTGGTAGCACCAGTCCTGGGAGTGTGGGCTGGGTATTGCAAACAGGGCGCTGACGGGACCCTCTGCAGCGTACCTGGGATTGATGCTGCTTTCTCCTGAATGAAGGGGGCTTTTCTGCCTATCTACCTAAAAGATTCTGAGCCAGGGCTAATCTTTTGATATTGTTTCCTTCCACCAGGCTTATGCATGCTTTGAACTAAGCCATGAAAGCTGTATCTGGCTTATTGTGCATGGGACATGCTCACACCTTCTGCGGGGAGCCGGCAGGTGAGCAGGCAGCAGGATCTTCCCCTCTCGCAGGGAAGTCAGCAGAGGTGAAATACCTGATGCGTGTTTTGAGAGGTTACAGCCTAGTAACCGCTGACAAATAACCAGCTCTGTCAGAGCTGTTGGGGAGCTCTTGGGCTGACATCCCGTTTTCTTCCCACCCCCCTGCTTTGTGCAAAATTCAGATTATAGCTGATAAAATTGCAGGCTGTAATGACATGTTACATAATTACGTGTTTAGATTAGGGTTGGGCTTTTGCCATCTTCTAGGTAACAAGTTAGAAATAGTTTAAACCTTGCCAAGTGGTGCTTCCTCCTGGGTCCCTGTCTTCTCTTGCCAGTTAAAGCTGGAGTAAGAGTCTTTTTGATGGGGAAGAACACCCAACCCAGAATAACCAAAGTTTGACAGGGTAACCTTGTGCTTCTGGTATCAAGCTTTATTTTTTCATCTGTCCTTTGGCAACACCACACAAATTAGATACTGCAGTACCAGGAGGCTGCTAATCACCCAAAAAAAATGTGAGACCCAGCTTTGGTGGCTTCTGGTACTTCTCAGCCCTTCTCTGCTGCTGTGCTTCTTTCGGGGGCTTCAACGCTTACTGAGTGAAGCCATGTTACTGGCAACAGCAATAAAAAGCACAAGGGCACGTTCCCCGAAGCTGGATGACGGTTTGTTTCCGTAACTGGAAGCTCTTGTCCTACACCACTGTTTTAAAAACAAACTCCTGTTCTTGTATGTGCATGGGACAACAAGACTTGGCCTCTGGTCTCTGTGCCGCTCCCAGAGCTCAGGCCAGCTGAGGGTGGCTGGCCATGCTGCCTGCGCTGACCTCTGAGGATGCCAGCAGTTGCCCAGGGCCACCTCCTGCCAGTTGTGGTGGCCTGTGGCTGGCTCGCTAACAAAGAACTCATTTGGGGGAGCAATATCCCTGCCGGACAGGTGCCAGTTCCCCCTTCCAGACTGGTTCCCCTCAGGGACGTACATGAAGCCAGACAATGGATCTACCGAGCACTGGTCTATGGATTTTATTTCAAAAAGACATTTATAAAATGTTTATTTATAAAATTTCAAATAAATATTTAAGGTACAAATGTAAAAACCAAGGTACTATGAAAGCTTTTTCTTCTTTCCTTTTTTTTTTTCTTTGTTTTTTTTAAAGGTATCACAGCCAGTTCTATGTGTCTTGGGAAGCCCTGGAAGGGAAGCTGTTAAAGCAGCACGTTAACACCAGCAGATCGTTAACTTTGACTTAACAACAAAAAAAACCACTAACAAAGCAATAGCTGACTCGGTAGCAATGCAGATTAAGATCTAACTAAACAAGCAGACTGCTTGAACTAGAACTCTTACACTTGACTAAAAAGTAAAGAACTCTCCTAGGTACATGAGTAGGCAATTATAAAACTGTCCAAAAAGGGCTAAACTATGATTTTTGCGGGTGCTAAGCGGCATTAGCTGACATCTAATGAGCAACTAACCAGGAAATAAAGGAGCAATCCTCACCACACTATTTTTTTTTAAAAGGTGGTGGTTTTGTCATATGCTGGGTGACAACAAGAACAAATAGCCTCAAGACACCTGTACAGTCAGGGTGTTTATAGGAGGGCCCGGCAGGCGGTGGGGAAAGGCTGCCGGGATGACTCCTGCAGTGGGGCAGGGCTTTGGCCGCGTGGGGGCTGCTTGGAGAGCTCTTGCAGAGCCCCATGGGTCTCGGCCCCGCCATGTGCAAGAGGGTGATGAGCTCATACCCCACCATCGCAGCAGCCCAAGCGCAGAGGCCATCAGCAGCCACGTGTCAGAGCACGGACCGTGCCGGGAGCAGCAGCTCAGCCTCAGGAAGGTACTGAGCCGGCAGCGCGGCGGTCCAGCAAGGCACCCATCCCAGCTACGCTGGGCACGCCAAGCCAGGGCAGCCGCATCTCCGGCTCATCCCATCCCTACTGCTGGCTCCGGCAGCAAATGGCGATGACGGCAGCCGTGCTGCTGCCGGGGGCACTGGCTGCCACGCAGGTATCATCCACGGCGTAGGCTCCCATGGTGCCGGGGCTCTGGGAATGGGCATTACAGCCCGTAAGCGTCCAGCGGTCATCACAGGACACCGTCACCTAATGGGGGAGGAGAGGTCATCCTCCATAGATCAGCAAGGGGGCAGGGGTCTGCCCATCCCTGGTGGTCCCTGGGGCCCGGGGCAGGGTGGCC